ACTGTCCATTAATTAATGGATGGTTGGCAGCTCTGAGTAAGATACAGCAGAGGAAAATGTAAGTGACTTGGGTGGTAGTATGTACCTAGCTGTCAATGTATTAAATGAGTTCTCTTAGATTGAGTCTACAGCATATAACTTCCCTACTCAGAAGGTCATAAATTGTTTTACTGGTTTACAGAGCAGCTACAGTATATAACGTGCACATAATTCTCCAAAACAAGATTGTTAAGTAAAGAGTGGAAAAAATTGGTAGTCTTGTGACACAAAACGTTATGGGTTTTCTATTGAGAGCAAAGCAGTAAAACTTACCATACACCTTGCAATCTGATTCAACAATCTAGTTTAGTTCTATCTACAATTATGTAGTATGAGAACCTACATGACTAGATACAAATTGAGTGTGGCCTCTACTACATCATTTTGGGAGATCTAAAGGACAGTGAATAGAGATTAAACATCCAAGGTGTATGGCCAGCCTAATTGCTTACATTTAAAAGTTTTTACAAAGCTATGCAGAGCAGGAAGAGAGGGATATGTGGATGTAACCTGACCTTAGAGCGGTTCACACCTGAATTGTACAGTACTGTTGCCTGCATTCCTGTGGATTCAGTATGATGTGATTTTCAGTCCATTCTTTCGAACGCACTGTATTGCTTCAAAACTAGTGTATGCGCTACTTTTAAAAAATGCACTGGATCACATTGTACTGCAGTACCATGCACTGCTGTGCAGGAAAACACTGTGTTTGCAATCTACATTTGGGCTGTTGTTCGGAATACACCCGCAGCAGATCACAAACCCAGTGCCTTTTGATCGCAGTGCAGGAAACACACACGGTACGTGGATTTCCCACACCGCATTATGGTGTAAACAAGCCCTTAAAAGAGAAATATCGCCAAAGCCTTTCTTCTCTTGTGGGTCACAGGAGTGCACTTACTTTCGCTCCCCTGTGACTCTGAGTCAGCTTATAGCAGGCTATTGCCCTGCTGTCTAGGCTTTTTACGAGGATCTTAACAATATTGTTGGATCCACCCAGCTGCCTGATTGACAACTGGCTTCAGCTCTCAGAGTGCAGCTGAGAGCTGGAGCCAACTGTGCCCACCCCCTCTCCAGCCCGCCACTACAGTGACTGTTGGAGGAACAGAGCAGACAGTGGTTACTGACAGTCACTGCTTACACTTCTGAGCAGACCAAGAACTGCATAATCAGCAGACATGTGATCACTCAGTTCTCAGTCTTAGAGCCGACATGAGACAAACTGCAGCATCGCAGAGTAAAAGTGAGTATGGGTGATTTTTGTTTTTTTTATAAACCCCATACTTCTCCTTTAAATGTATATTTAAAGCTAAAACCATTTTTTTTATAAAGTATGGAATAGTTAAAACCAAGCTTAATTATTTTTTTCAAATTTCTGCCACCCTATTGGTGATATTTTATTTCACTTAAAATATAAGTAGTAATAAGAGATGGCTTAGTGGTTTGCACATCTGCCCTGTAGCACTGGATCCCTGATAAAATCCAGGTCAGAGCACTATCTGCATGCAGATTGCATGTTCTTCCTGCACTTGTATGTCAGTTGGCCCTAGTATATGTGTGCATGTCTTTATGCATGAGAGATATGTAAACTTCTTGAGGGCCAGGACTGTTGTGAAGGTACAGTGTTGTATGTAAAGCACTGTGTAATTTATCAGAGCTATATAAATGCATTTACCAAATCCAATAGATGTTTGTCCTTACAGGAAGACTATCCTTCTGTTCCCATTCCAGTAAGAACTAAACATTTTAGCTTTTCCTTCACTTTGACTGCCAGTGAAAGGGTGCATTTTCTTGGCAGGGATACAAATCGCAACAAAATCTGACAGAGGTTCAAATTTTTACTCCTTACACCACCCAAAACTAAAAAAGCATGGCTTTAGAAACCGTATAAAGCTCACTTTTTCACTCACTTTTACTACAGTCATGCATCTTACTCCTCTACCATCAAATTGCAAAAAAAGGCGAGAACCTTTTTCTGTGGAGCACAGTCTTTATGTCTGCCTTTCTCATCAAGGTAACCACAATATGGAAGACCTCAATATTTTAGTTCTGAAAGGAAAATTCAAATCCATCCAGGAAAGAAAAACATTTGAACTAAGAATGATAATTCTATTTGACACAAAAGATAACGGCCTTAATTTGGACATGGGTTTCCTCAACCATTATCCGACAGCTTTATGACTATCTATTAGCTAAAGCTTGACCCCCTCTGTGTGAGTGTAGTATTCCCCCCCCCCCCCCCTCGCTTTTGATGTATCTTATCTGTAGCCTTTTTTTTTTTTTTTCTCAATCCCTTTTAACATTCTGCTTAAACTTTGTGATTTGTAATAGTACTGCTTAGACCTTGAAGAAGGGGACATACCCCGAAAGCTTGTCCTCAAAATTGTATGTTAGTGCAAATAAAAAAAGTATCACGGACAGTACTCAATTGTTTCTGTCATCAAGGTAAGAGTGATAACTCCCAAAGTCTCCTGGGATATCAATGTCACACATCCCATGAGGCTTTGGGCAATGGGCAATGGGCACATGCTCAAGCAGTGACTCAACATTAGGGGGCTGGTTGCTAGGGCCAAGAATAAACTGCCAGCATTCTGATTTCAGTGAAGATGGTAGCACAGGACCCAGTGTGTAGCAGCTTTTGACAGGTCACAGCAGGACAGCACTGGATTCACTGTCTAAGTCTGCTATTTCAGTCTAACCCAACAGACAAAATAAGAAAGGGCCAAGATCAAATTAAGCCTAAGGAGTGAAGTTTCTCTTTAAGGTATTGAGCTCTGCAAGGAATGGGATTCTGTAACAAAGCAATTAGGATTATCTTGGTAAATATGGGAAAAAAGTTTGGATTTCCATCCATTTGCTGTAAATAAATAATATAAAATCACTCCATTGGTGTAATTAAAAGGTAACACTTTTTTGGTTTTTTATTGATGTCTATGCGCCCATTAGAGAGATTCACCCTCTCTATTTGTCCAGTTTACCATTATCATTGAAAGTGAAAATCCCAAATTTGGGGTTGACATCAAAACAGTACTAGAGGGGAATCTTCTAATGGGGGCACTAGTTTTGATGACTCTGATGACACCCTGGGATTTCCTCTCTTTGGAGGGATTTCCCCTCACTTCCTCTTTTGGCTACAGAACAGAAAGTGAAGAGAATTATCCCTTATGGTACAAAAATACTGAAAAAAATTATAGGGGCTATAACCCTCCCTTACTGTCACAGAGATGAAAAACATTTTTCCTTTAGTCACACTTTAGTACCTAAAATAGGCTTAAAAATAGCCTCTTACTGTAATAAGACAAACAAATGCAGACTGTACAGGTATTTCTTGAGGCATGCAAGGGAATGTTCTTAAAGAAATATTTTGATAAAATAGCTACAAATGACAAGATTCTTATTTAATTCCTACGTAGTTTATCAATAAAGCTCAGCAGACATCAACACTTACCATAACAGTGCACATTATGTAGACCAAGGTCCAGTGGTCTACCTAGCCCCCCACCACAAATCCTTCCTGTCAAATGCATTTCTTGGGGTTCTAAAGTAGACTTTTATGTAAGTGTGACTTGCCATCAGTATATACATATATAAAATATTTTAAAATAAGGTATAATCCTAGACAAGGCAAAACTAAAATGATAAAAAATAATGTGGGAATTGCTATTGTTGGGACCATTGAAGATTATTTTGGCATGTGAACATTATACATCAAACAAAACTCCAGTATGACCTGCCTTCTGCACCAGCTAAGAAGAATTTGTACTATGCCAAATATAATTAATGCTGGCAATGAAGCAAGTTTGGGACTACACAATAAAAGTTGTTCCTTACTAAATATGTAACTACAGTTATCTACAGCAAAAATAATTCTCTATTAACTCTCAAACTTTCCTGAAAACTTTGTCAAAAGTCACAATTAGGCCAGCTACTGCTAGGTTTTTATACTGTAGCTTGCTAGGCAGTTTTTTTCTTACTTTGAACATCAGCTATCAATTTAGAACCAAGGTTTTGGATGTCCTAAAAACCAGCAAATGAACTACAGCAATACTATGTAGAACATAAAGCTTTATACAGATATATGCTTTATGCTGAAGGCAAGATTGATCTACAAGTTTTTTTTTTCCCAATTTGATCTTTGTAGCTTCATCATAAGCAAAATGTATTTCTCGCATGCAATAGTCTGTAGCAAATGGAAAATTTTATTTCACATGAAAAGAAAAGTCCCTGGCTAGATAGTAGAACGGTATTTTATACACATCTTCTACTTTTGTTACATGGGGGCATTCTGCAATATAAAACTTTGACATTTAACCTTTGTTAAAAGAACTGCTGCAAAATGACTATTTCTGAACTGCAGAAGAAATCCAGGGAACGGGAAAATAATTAGAAGTGTAGCATGGCATGTACAGCTAGAACTTACTGTAAAAAAAACATACCTGCAGCATGGAATAAAAAAAAAAAAGCAATACAAAAATTTCCCAACACACACGTGTTTACCGTAGAAAGCTGAAAGGCTAGCAAGTCACTGTTGGGAGAGGGAATAGGGTGCGCTAAAGGTGTTAAGAAACCCACTTGAAACAACCTAAAATCTGAACTCTGGGATATAGGAATATTTTCTAAATACAAGTGGCATGCGTATTTTTAATTGAATGTTTGTGCTTTATATCTGTGCAGAAATCCAGTGTGTGACTAAACCTTTGCGTAGAAGCTTCCTGTAAGAAAACCAGTCATTACTGCTCTCTCTCTTTGTGCAGGGTGGTTGGTCTTGTATAGTAGTTGTCTGCAGGCAGCGTCTTCTAGGTGGCCTGCTGGATCCCTCTTACAGCTCTGATGTATTTATACCTTTGGTGGTTATTAGGGAATATACACTATGTTGCCAAAAGTATTGGGACACCCCTCCAAATTATTGAATTCAGGTGTTCCAATCACCCCCATGGACACAGGTGTATAAAATCAAGCACCTAGGCATGCAGACTGCTTCTACAAACATTTGTGAAAGAATGGGTCGTCCTCAGGAGCTCAGTGAGCTCAAGTGTGGTACCGTGATAAGTTGCCACCTAGGCAATAAGTCTATCCATGAAATTTCCTTGCTACTAAATACTCCACGGTACTGGGAACGACAGCAACTCAGCCACGAAGAATAACAGAGTGGGGTCAGCGCATGCTGAAGCTCACAGTGCGCAGAGTGCACCAACTGTCTGCAGAATCAATTGCTAAAGACCTCTAAACTTCATGTGGCCTTCAGATAAGCACAACAACAGAGCATAGAGAGGTTCATGGAATGTGTTTCCATGGCCGAGCAGCTGCATCCAAACCTTACATCACCAAGTGCAATGCAAAGCATCAGATGCAGTGGTGTAAAGCAGGCTGCCACTGGACTCCAGAGCCGTGGAGATGTGTTCTCTGGAGTGACAGATCACACTCCTCTGTCTGGAAATCCAATGGACTTGTCTGGGTTTGGCGGTTTCCAGGAAAACGGTACTTGCCTGACTGCATTGTGGCAAGTGTAAAGTTTGGTGGAGGGGGGATTATGGTGTTGGGTTGTTTTTTAGGGGTTGGGCTTGGCCCCTTAGTTCCGGTTAAGGGAACTCTTAAGGCATCAGTATACAAAGACATTTTGTATTTCAATAGTTTTTATTAGTTTTAATCAGTATAAAACAGAGGCGACAAAACATGCCCCCACAGAGGCTATCAATTGCACCGATAAGATAAAAAACATAATAATAAAAGAAAAACAGTGTTCTAACTTCAACAAGGCAGAAGGTACGCCCACTCAGGGGCTATCAATGGCACATAGGTTACAATAATGGTAAAGAAATTCTAACTGCAATTAAAGGCAGCCGTCCACTATCACCCAAAAAACTAACAGAAATGGAGAGAAAGAAAGAGAAGAGAAATAAGAGAAAAAAAAAAAAAAAGAGAAGAGGGGGGCAGAGATCCAAGAGCGCCACCATCGAACGGCAGTGCCTAACGCCATTACATCCCCATACTAGCGAAAGGAAGCGTGGGAAAGGCATATTGCAACCATGGTTCCCATATTTTCGAGAATTTACATTGGGAGTCATTGCATATGCTCGACATCTGTTCATTAAGCATCATATTGGTCATACGATCCCGCACCCCCTGAAAAGGGACAAACGGACTCTTCCAGGCCTGAGCAATTGTTCTGGTGGCCGACAAAAACAAATAGGATGCCAGCATCTGTTGATGAGCCAAGAGACCCGGTATGGGGCAATGAAGCAAGGCATACCGAGCATCCCGGCGTATGGATAGATGAAACAACGTGAAAAGGAGGCCAAATACACGAGACCAAAAACGGACCAGTCTCGGGCATGACCACCAGGTATGCAAGACATCACCACGATGGCCACAACCCCGGAAACATCAATCACTACAAGCGGGATTAGCCTGGGCCAAACGAGCCGGAACCCAATACCAACGACACAAAACCTTACATGCTGCCTCCAGCGTGGTGGTATTGAATGAGCATTTAGCTATGAGTGACCAGGCCCTATTCCAGTCCTCCGGATCCACATCCACTCCCAGGTCACGCTCCCACTGAACAACATATGAAAGAGAAGTATGCGATGAGCGTCTGTTCAAGGCTGCATAAAGAAGGGAGATAAGGCCCGGGGGCGCCCGGGCGCTGCTGGCAAAGCTGTTCAAAGGCCGATTTCTGGTATGGAAAAGAAGAAGTGCCCCGCAGCGAGAGCAGCCAGTGCCGCAATTGAAGGTATCGAAAAAATTACAAAGACATTTTGGACAATTTCATCCTCCCAATTTTGTGGGAACAGTTTGAGGATGGCCCCTTCATGCTCCAACCTGACTGTACACCAGTGCACAAAGCAAGGTCAAAAAAGACATGGATGAGCAAGTTTGGGGTGGAGGAACTTAAATGACCTGCACAGCGTCCTGACCTCAAACTGATAGAACACCTTTGGGATGAATTATAGTGGAGACTATGAGCCAGGCCTCCTTGTCCAACATCAGTGCATGACCTCACAAATGCACTTCTGGAAGAATGGTCAAATATTTCCATAGACACATTCCTAAACCTTGTGGACAGCCTTCCCAGAAGAGTTGAAGCTGCTATAGCTGCAAAGGGTGGGCCAACTCAAAATTTAACCCTACGGACTAAGACTGGGATGCCATTAAAGTTCATGTGCGTGTAAAGGCAGGTGTACCAAAACTTTGGCAATATAGTATATTTAAATGAAAGTGAATTCAGCTTTAAGGATGAATCACTCCACAAGGCCTGCAGCTTTGGACGTCAGCTTGTTTTTAAAGCTAAATGACCAATTATTAAAAATATTAAAATACTTGGAAACCCATTAACTGGCCACATTCTACTGTAAACATGATTTTATTGGAACAACGTAGAGATGTGCACAATGGAAAAATGTGTTTCATGTCGGATTTATATGTTAAAAAAAGTATGGGATCTCTTTTTTTTTTTTTAAATACACCTATCTAGGTGGATGTAGCATTGGTCCGATGCGGCATCTGTCCCCGACCACCTCTAAGGATGACAGCTGCTCTGAGCAGAGAGCGGTGACTGTTGGTCACCGCTCTCTGCTCTGCCTCCCCGCACTCACTGAGAGCTGGGCTGTGGAGGGGGATGAAGTGGCTGGCTCAGGCTTACAGTAAAGCACTGAGAGGCTGAGCCAGATTCTGGGGTGGATCTGACTTTAAAGTCAGGATCTTTCCCTCATCCTGGACCAGCTGACTGATGTCAGCCAACAGTGGGCTTAAGCCCACTGTTAGCTGAAAACTGGTCACAGGAGTGCAAAACAAACTGCACTTCTGTGATTCACAGGTGATGTACAGCCAAAAGAGCTTTGGCTGTACTTCTCCTTTAAGTTAATAACTTTGTTTCATCATATTCGTTATGTTTTAAGGATTCATTTTCAGAATTTGTTTTGTATATTCATTATTTTCAAATTAATTCCAAAGTCAAAAGGTGGCTATAATTATTCTATTTTTTTCTATTGTATTCTTTTATGTTCTATTCTGTTCTATTCTTTTCTTATTCTAGTCTTATTTTCTATTGTATTCTGTTTTATGCTATTCTATTTATTTTCTATTCTATTTTATTCAGTTCTAATTCTTTATTTTCTGTTCTGTTATATCCTATTCTTTTCTAGCCTATAAAGAAAACCAGGTAGGAATCATCATCTTATTCCAATTTTATACCTTGCTGTATTTTCTGCAATGTTTCCATTTTGAATTCAAATAATTTTTTTTATTCAAGTTTGGATAATTCGTTTAATTTTCATTTCATATTTGTTGAAAGTCATTACTATTGTGATTCAGAAATTCGGATAACAAACATTTTGTCAGAATTTAAATTTGTAATGAAACTAAGCATAAATGTCTAGAACAATGATTGAATACATAATATAACTGAAATAAACTAGATGCATACACAGATTCGAGTTATATTCAAAGAGCATGGAAACATTTTTTCCTGAACCCCAATTCTTACCTAACAAATTACAGGGAACAGTGAATGTGAGTGAATGTGGAAGAGGGCAATTGATAAACATTTGTCTGTACCATCTTATCTGCTGAATCTGTGTGGATGTCTGGGATACAGATTTCCCATTTGGAGGAAACACATAGGGATAAGCCTCTTGACGCTGATGTCATCACCCATGCCATCAGTCATACAGGTAGCTGTCTACTTTGCATATATGAAAGCTTTGTATAAGTGGTTTTAGATGTGATTTTTAGTGTGGAATTCTCACCTATGCAAGATGAGAGGCTCCCTGATTTACAGTTTTCCCAGGATTATTACTTCCTGATATTAGACCAGGAATCCAAAGGCTTAGACAGATCTTGGGTAGGAAAGAGCCTCCAATCCTGGTAATGGGTAATACCCAGGGTTATCTATCTGTGAGAGAGCATTGTAAAGGGTAGGAATGAGCCAGTAGATGTCCATAAGGTGTGGAGTGGAACAGGACAGTTGTGAGATGTCTGGCTACTAAGACGCTGCTGGGCTCTTGACCTCTGGAACAGGCAGGGGCTTTAAACTCTTTAAGCCCTTTTATGGACAAGTTTATGCTGGCAGTGAGCTGAATTTTCTTTGCGTTTCTGAGTTTTGGACTGCTTTGTTTATTTAAGGAGGAAGATAAGCTACTTTGTATTTTTGAAAAAATAATATAAATATGTTTCGTTTTTACAAAGATGGCCAGCTAGTGATCCAGATCCCCAATCTAACTACCATTGCTGCATTTTATATATATCTATTCCTCAGCTCACCCCATCAGTTTCCTCACATATCACCGATTTACTAACAGACATATCAGACTGGATGTCACACCACTTCCTAAAACTCAATCTATCCAAAAACATTTATATCTATCTACCTCTTAGATTGTAAGCTCCAAGGAGCAGGGCCCTCCTAACCCTCTTGTATTGAATTGTATTGTTGCTGTATTCTCTCCCATTATATTGTAAAGCACTGAGCAAACTGTTGGCGCTATATAAATCCTGTATAATAATAAATCTTTATATATTTATTGCTTAATCCCCTTATGACCACGGTAAAACAAACAAATAAACCTTAATGTCCAAACTCAATTTTGCAACTTTGACATGTGTAAGTGTATAGTATATGTCATCACTACTACATAATGTAGCCAGGTGGATTATACACCATACAAAACCGACTGGGCTTTTAATTGGGGGTGAATGTTATTCTCTTCATTTTGTTTTATTATGCAAAGAAAAATTGGTCCAAAATAGTAAAAAAAAAACAAACAAAAATGTTTTTTTTTTCAAACTGTATATTTTATGTCATTACCATGCCCCACCACCAAAAAACCTGCAAAATATGGTAGACTATATCAATAGTATGCATTTTTGTACTCACTAAGCACACCAACACTGCTAATAACTCTGATACTAAAACTGACACCAAATGCTATCTTACACTGCTACTAGCTAGCACTGACATTTATATGGACACAAACACTGACACACTGCTATCAACTGACACCAAAACTAACTGAAACTGACATTTACTCTGCCACTGCGACTTACACTCACTGAACTAGTCTCTGATCTAGTTCACCTTTGTTTTTATTTTATTCAACAGACCTCGGTTTGCACAGACTCCTATCTAGTGAGGAAGAAAATATATACAGTTGTGACCAAAATTTTCAACCCCCACTGGAGTGTTTTGGGAATTGCTTTTGATCATTCAGTCATCTTGCTTACATTTACATTAAAGAGGCACTTGTAGGTCAGACAAATATAACATAACAGTTATAATTAACCACAAATGTCTTTTCTGTGCTCACAGCATTATCAGTTTTATTCAACCCCCAAGTGACATTCAATCACTTAGTACAGCATAGCCTTTTACAGTTATCACAGCTTGACTATCACAAATGCGATTGCAGATCTACGGGTATCTTTTCTTCATGGGCAAAGGCCTCCAGTTCAGTCACATTATTAGGCTTGCGCACTGCAACTGAAGTCCCACAGAGGTTCTCAATCGGATTTA